CATTTTACGTTCATCACCTGTTGGAGTGACCGTTTCGGAGTTTTGCTGGTCATAAACTCGGAACCCGCAATTTCTGGAACGCGGATTCCTCGACCGCCTCTAGGCGTGGTTTTCAACGCAAATTCGTTGCCTGCTGTAAACTCATCACCGTTTCAGGTATTCGTTGACCATGAACTCTAAAGACCACGGTTTCTGGAGCGCAGCACTCCTTTTCAACGCGAAACCCCATGAACATGAAGAGAGCCGTTTTGTACCTGTTTGTAGTCTTAAGAATCCCTGAGAGCCATTCGTCTATACCTGCGACTATTTAGTGCCCTGTTTCCTTCAGTCTTTTCCAACAGTGACTCGTCTCTTCAAATGGCTTCCGCTTCTCCCACCCAGTCCAATCGATCTAAATCGGTCAGAAAGTCCAAGCGCCAAAAACAAGGCCGTCGAAAATCAAGCCTTATGAAAAAAGCGGCCGAATATAGCAAGCTGTGCGATGCTGATGTCTGTGTGGGCATACGCCTTCGGGAAACCGGCCAAGTATTTATCTTATCAGCGGATGCTTCGGGATTTTGGGCTTTCCTTGGCTCGCAACTAGTATGTCTCCAACTATGTCTCTGATGAAAAGTCGACTGACCTATCAAGAACTCCTACTATCCAGCCCCAAGACTAGTAACCGACCAGGATCTGGAGCTTGTTGATAAAGATACACCGGAGCAACATACATGAAGTCATGGCGGCACTTCCATCAGACTAGAAGCTTTGCAATTAATTCAGCGACTTAAAACTACCATATATGGCTTTTTTTTTTTAATAGTTCAAGTTACTGAGCGTAAAGCACGATAAGTTGTGATTCCGACGTGGATTGATCCTCAATACGCAAGAGTTCTCTATACATAGTAGGTTCTGAAGTCAGTCACAGCTACTTATCGGCCCGAGGAAGTAAGGGAATCTATGTGGTCGGTTTATCGCGCGTGTACAATTCACTGTCGTAGAGACAAGGCTATTTCTATATGTACGAATAAGCCCGTATATGCATTGATGGGAAGCTCTCGTGAGGTTTGCAGGAAAACTTTACACTGTGAGCTTCAGTAACGTTGCATGGATTCTATTAATTATTATGGAGAACTGTTATTGGCCAACATAGTACGAGAAGGCTTGGATTGGGGGCCTGGGAAATATGGCGTAAAAGTGGACATGTCACGGACTTGTCTAAGAGGAAAACTAACTTGGGTAGCAGGGTGAAATAAATTCTTGCAATAGTCTTGGGGGGGTCTCTAGGTATTAGGAAATGCGCGTGATTTAGAGTGGAGACTGTTGTCTGGCCAATAATATCTGATAAACGCCCTCCTTCTTTCACTGTGTTCAACAAGAAAATGAATGTATTTGTTTATTTGTTATTGTTGACCATGCCGCACTCAGATTTCTGAGACCACCAATTAGTTGGTTTAATCACCGGCTGCAAGTTTGCTTGCACGTTGATCTCATGTTTTCTCCATTCATAAGCTAGTCGATGATGTTCCGTTTTATTTTACTGATATGTGTTGTGGAAATCGTCGTTGAGTCAACACCCAAGTAACCTTTCTATTTTATCGTTCATCAACATGATTCCTCTTCAAACGGTGTCTTTCCACCGTATCTTTGCGCAGTTAAACCATCTCTTCTTTCTGTTTGCCCGCATTTCAATTTGTATTCCTAATATTGATTACCGATTACAGATCCCACAGTTCATGTTGTGAGAACCTTACGTTCCTAGGATCATATTCGTCCCTAGGATCCATGGCATGGTTCCCAGGCACGCTATTGATTGCTCCCGGGAGTAGGAATCATAGTTCCCAGAGGGCCTACAGCTCCTGGGGGTGAACTGTATAGCTCCGGGGAACGAGAGGTGGTCTCCTAGGAGCTTGGGTTACTACCCCTAGGAACAATCTATAGCGTGCGTAGGAGGATGGAACCTAGGACCAGATATCATCTAGCAAAGATCCAGACCTCACTGAATTTTGTATCAAGAAGGCGAGCCAAACGCCACCACTATATATACTTCGTTTTGAGTCTTGTCTAGAAATATGAAGTCCGATTTATGATCTTTGTACGAACATGAGCTATGTAGTTACAAGAGAAACATCTCAGGACAGTTTCTCACTCAAAAGGCATCTCTTGATTCAGCATATGTAACGTAGAGAGAATTTTGTGTGTTCTAAGAAGGCGATCACGACAATACTATCCCAAGAATGATGATAACTTAAAAAGAAGGTTTTAAGAGCCTTGTTTTGAGAGCGAAATCCTCTTGTGACGATCCTCTCGAGAGCAATACGTTCACGTGAGATATCACCGATGAGCACAAGCCTTACAAGAAGCTATACGTCATATGGTGTTGAAATATACGATGTCTCCTAGTAGAAGATGAATAACGCATGCGAACAGTCTATTCCAGAGAGGTGTTTAAGTCTGATCTCTCTCAATGTGAGAGAGATCCTATATAAATGAAGAGCATTTCTCCTGAACTATACTCTCAATGGTAGGTCCAATGCTGATCATGATATTCATGCCTGAAGCATCAGGCATTAAATGCCTGGTGCACCATGAATCTCAACGTATGGTCCCGCTCTTACAAATATATATTTCTTGAAACAAACTCCCTAGAGACCGTGACCATAGTTCCACCAAGTATTCTAGTCAAAGGAGCATCCACGCTGCAATAATCCATATATCATATTCGGCCCTCCGTAAGGTCTAGCCTACGAAATTCGCCTTCCCTGCCCATTACCATTGCGTGTAGACTGGCCGTACAATGGCCAAGTCATACAGGGTATGTACTTATTCCGCCAAGATAATATAGCTACTCCAATATGGGAGAAAAGAGTAGCGATAAACCAATCAAACAGGTCGGCCAGATTTATCTTTGAGCCACTTGTTTCCTGAGTTCCCAAAATTTCACACCCCTCGCGAGTTTTTGTAATAGTTCTTTTTGAGCTCTGTTTCATCCCTACCGCGGAGGTTCTCAAGAAATTGGACGAGCAAAGCTCGATCTCGCTCGACACAATCTAAACCCCACTGACTTATATTCTACACAATATTACGGTATTATAACAATGGCTCGTTTGTCTCTACTAGCGATACGAGACAGGCCTGTGGTGATTATTAGCGGGCTAAAACCAGATTAGCTTTTCTCGAGTCAGTTTTGGGAATAAGCGGGTGTAGAAAGTACTGTACAGTATCCCAGGGTATGTGATGGTGAATCATGTTCTCATGGTTCAACCTCTTGAGGGACACACTGGGGAGTAGGGACACACCGGAAACTAAGGACACACCGGAGAGTAGGGACACACTGGAGAGTAAGGACACACTGGAGAGTAGGGACACACTGGAGAGTAAGGACACACTGGAGAGTAAGGACACACCGGAGAGTAAGGACACACCAGAGAGAAAGGACACACCGGAGAGTAGAGACACACTGGAGAGTAGGGACACACCGGAGAGTAGGGACACACTGGAGAGTAAGGACACACCGGAGAGTAGGGACACACTGGAGAGTAGAGACACGCTGGAGAGTAGGGAGACACCGGAGAGTAGGGACACACCGGAGAGTAGGGACTTACCAGCGAGTAGGGACTACACACTGGATGGCAAGCCTTACTACGGGCGTTAGTATGATTGGATTATCTGGTACTCCTTTCTCCACCTTGGAGTACCTGGCCCTTGCAAAACGTGATACCATTCTCAATACTCAATACATGTTAGGTCAATGGCATAAACGGTGTGAGATTGTTGGCACAGCATGAAATGATAGTCAATCTCTGACTAAAGAATCAGGAGAGTATGGGTGACTTCGCTGGAAGACTGTGTTTGACTCAGCCACATGTGGCAGAGAGACTAAATATTCCAATTGCTGCATGGAACAATGCAGACAACCCCTGGTTTTCTTATCAAGAGGCAATCGCTTTTCAATCCAGTGGGCCGCATGAGCCGTCCACCGCACAGCTTGGTGGGTATTTTGACTTGCATCCGGGGTCAGATACAATGAGAAACAATACCATTTTTGTTACCATATTACCCAAAGAGAAGGCTTTCGTTTCGGTTTGCTCCATCATTGCAGTCCAGGAAGGGGATTTCCTAGGAACTTTTGCTGGAATGATTCGCTATTCGGGGCGCTGCAACGATACGTATGGTATTCCTGGACCAAAGGAGAATCTCTGGTTGGATTATTCTACAGTCACTGGGACCCTCAATCTTATAGGAGTATCGCGCCCCAGGGGTGATTCGAATGTACGCCTTGATTGGGAGCTGTTTGAAGATCGAAAGGGAGAAAAATCCTGTCTAATGTGAAAGTGGCAGTTCGGGCGGTCCGGGCGATAAGATCATTCGAGGAGATCATTCGAGCTGCTCACCGGAAAGAACAATACCTTTTGCATCAGTCGGCAGTTTGCGCCAAAAAGGGATTTATGAAGCATGGACATCCAAGTACCGAATGACTCGGAGCTAATCAATAACTATGAGAGGGGAAAGGTCTCCAGTAGCTGGGCATTGACATGAGTCGCATATTTGAAATATGTGCAATTGGCCCGGGGGAAAATGCCACCTGGAAGTGGAGATATAAGTAATCCAATCATGCATTCTAGTTTGTTCCCGGAATAGGACACTCAGGCCATCTAGAGCGGCATCTCCTTCTGCTCACGAAGGATACAGTTCCGTACTTTCACCGGAAAAAAGGCAATGGCCGCAAACTGAATAAGGCCATAGCGAAACTATATTGCCGCAAGAGCTTCTTAGATAATTTGCAAATACACCTATTATGCTTTGGAATTGCCTCGTGAGTTCTGTAGGTATAAGGCATCCGCCGCAAATTCACAAGCTACCGGGATATCAGAATCCAGTGCCGATGCGGATGCTCTTTACGAGGAGGAACCAACCTACGAGCGGCACCCCCTCTCAGAGTTTCTTTGCTCTGTCTGCTCTAGTGGGCTGCAAATAATGAGTGCTACTATACATTAACGCTCGTCGAATAACTAATTTCACTATGAGCATTCAAAAACTTCTTCAAGAAGCTGACTGTCGGAGGTTAGCCATCTTAAAGCAACCCAACCGTCTCGGTCTTTTGACACCATTGTCTCTGCGATGGTCATGTATCGTTGAACCTCATCTGGGCCGCAGTCATTGGAGCTCCTTCGACACTCTTGTACTTTCGGGAAGCTTCGCTTAGCAATTGCTACCTAGGAAATTTAAGAAACGTACCTTTTGTCGCTGGGACGCGAAGCTTGCGGTTTTTGAATGATAATAGCAGCAATGCTACATCGGGCGCATCGAAACTTTTGAAGCATGCTCTGGCTATCTCAACCGCTTTTTGTATGTCGAGCTGGGTTGTTGTATGCTCAATAGACCATCCCGAACGAAGAAACCCAACACGTTTTGTCCATGAATCCATCGCAGCGGGATCCGCAAATTGAGGATATAGATCATGTAACCCCGCCTGGATGAGCTGTGCTAGAGATACCACACTAGACCTCCCAGTGTGATGCAAAACCCCCTGTGACAGATACTCTCCATTGTCAAAATATGGGCTCCCTAGACGAAAATTGAAAAAGCTCCGCATCTCCTCGTCGACTTCTGGAGCTTCACGATAGGCCCGAAGTAACGACATGTCCCGAACGAACTGCCCACGAGGAAACTTCCTTGTGTCGATCATGCATATTTCAATCTCAGTGGGGTCACGGCGGCGTCGATGGCATCTCCAAATCGCATATTGAATCACAAACAGTAGAGAACTACTCCACGACATTAGGTTGTCGGTATCTTCCCCCAAAAACATGATTTATTAAGGTGACTGTAAAGCATTCGTGTGACTTCCTCTGCCGTCCTTGAGAGGAGATCGACTCTGCTGCGCCATGATATTGCGGAAATGCTCTCAGCGGAAGCTACGACATGGTGGTCGCTTCTGCCAGAGCTTTCATAGTCGAACGCTCTAAACAAATATCGCGGGACATCTGCAAATTGACAACGAGGAGGATGACTTGCTGGCGAATAGAATAGTGTGGACCCGTTGGGACATTTACTCAGCGCCTGAACCCAAAAACTAATCCATTCTTCCCTTTGCTGCCGTTCCTTCTCGAATTTGCGTTCGCATCGCACACGAAAGGCCTCGGCATAGCCATCGTCGATGGCTATGCGATCTTCGTGCTCGTAGTAGTCCTCGCTCTCGAAGTCGGGGTCGTAGGGCCATTCAAGGCTAGCTTCGCCCAGTGGAATAAAGTAGTTATCGGAGTGCAGGGTCCCAGAAGCATGAAGAGCCTGGCCGTAGCACATCTCTAAAGTGTCCCGCAGAACGTTGTTGTCATCGCTGGTGCTATTAAGAACATCGCGAGCGATGCTCCTCAATTCGTTAGTAAAATGCGATAGCATTTTCTGCACCAGTGTTCCTGGACCAGCAAGCGATGTGATGTAAGCTATGATATAGCGTTCGGTTGCATCGGTGAACGTATCTGTGATACCGGCAAGAGTGGTAGCGCTTCTTCTCAGGGAGCTCAGTTTCACAATGCCCTGGCCGCTCGGAGTATGTGTGTTTTCAACCAAAGTCTGGACCCGTTGCGCATGTGCTAAAGTAGCTTCGCAGGACTGTATCAGCATCCGAAGAGTCTCCACCAGAGCTTGCTGAGTTGGTCTTGGGCAATTAGAGGTTGATCCAATCAATTCAGTTGTCCTATCAGAGATGCTCAATCCTCCGATTGAATCAACAAGACCGGTGAACTGTTCAGCCATGCTTTTGGAAGGAAGAGCGACTAAGAAATGCCAAACAGAAGGCTACTCTCGGTAGGGTCTGCGAGTCAAAACGGTCGCAGAGTGGGTTGCGGGGTAAGGCAGAGGGGTAAGAATACTTAAGCTCTTCCAGGTGGACAGCAGTGATCTATATTTGAGTTACGTACAGTAGTCGTATTCGAATTCAGTTACACCCCTGCACTCTTACGACTTTACCCCGGAAAATAAATCCAGCAGCTCCTGAGCCTTAATTGGATAGACCTTGAAAGCCCCGCTTTCAGACCGCTTACCAGACTAGTAGGTGTATCTTACAATACAGATGAAAGACACCAGAAGATGTATTATACGCGAAAGTGCTATACACTCCAAAGCCTAGGACGATATTATTACTGTAGATTCTGACTGAAATGATTTAGTGTATCTTGGCACTTGCAAAAGTGAGAGAAGGGAGTGGACACTGATTTCCGGAAGTACTGTATCTCGTTGGAGTTAAGCTAATTCCAGCTTCAATTTCCTGCCCAGCGCATCTCCAAACACAATAGAATACCAGCGTACGTTGTGTATTGAGCCAGGGCAATGACGTCCTTACAGGTGGTGATCACTGGGGCTAGATGGAGATTCGGGATTGCCAATAAAATAAACCATGTACCCTCAAGAATGCAAATTAAATTAGACGCGACTGAGCGGTCCACCACGACCGTACAATGACTGCTCCGGTGGAGAGCACATCACCGCAAAGGCAGGCCCACTCGGCATGTCAAAAGATGAAGCATACGACCTGTTGTACGTAAGATACCTGCATATGGCTTAAACGAGCATTAGTGAACGGTAGTCAACGGCGGAACGAGATAGTCAACGCATCAAGGAAATTTCTGAGGCGTATGATGAGACGCTGGTTAGCTCAATTTTTCAGGGTTGATGGATCGTGGGAAAGCTTAGGAGATGGGCTGATCTGTCAGATGAGGCATATCTCTGTTCAAAATACGCTTTAGACCGCACTTTTTCTGATGTGAGCGATTATCCCATCGGGCCCCAAACTTTTTTTCTGCGGGATGCTTGATTCTACCCATCCATTTTTCCATCAATGCCTGCTCAAAACGGACGATTCAGTCATAGACTATCATCATCAAGCAAGCCTCGCACCTATAGATACCTCGTCAGACGTCGGCTCTCCTGGCACTCTCTAGCAAATGACCGTTGCTTTGTCAGTGAAGGCAGTTCAATTTGTCTCGCTCATAGAGACTATTCTTGACGAGAGATTCGAGTGCCCAGATAGGAAAGGTACGTCTCTTTGCTTTCCATGAGGTCCATATGGCGATTGACTGCGTGACGTCTAATCCCCAAAATATGGCATACAGAAGCGTGTTCCGCAGAACAGACGGATTGAGAGAGGTTAGCCCATTCGTTCAATATCAGAAGAACTTTCGCTGATTACAAGCTTTGTCGAATGCCTTACTCACAGCGAGATCACACAATATATCCTTCACAGCAGGAGGCTTTAATTGAAGAACGGAAACGGTGGTCTCGTGAGTGATGTAATCGAGCTAATGACCTCGCCACGGTCCTTGCTGAGGAATATGAAGTTGGACTGAATTTACCTATTTACTGACGGGGCCAGTCTAGGTAACCCGAAACCATCAAGTCGACGTATATTCCGGAAAACAAAGGACACTGGTCGTTAGCGTATCATGGCCAAGTGTGTTGGTGCCTTTGGTGCCTGAGGCATGAAATTGACTCGAGCCTAGGGGGTGAGTAAGCTGGTAAACATCTGGACGCATTCCGCCCTGACGGGCCACTCTCCCACGCCAGACAGCGAACCCCCTACTATGTTGACTTAGATTTGCATCATTCGACTATCTGCTGAATACTGATTTCGACAAGCGATGGAAGAAACAATCGCAGAGCTGCGTCGTCAGCTTGAGGAAGAGAGACGGGCGCGAGAAGAAGCAGAACGGCGACTCCAACCCAACACCCTATTCCGCCTCCTCGATCGCTGCCATGACTCTCTGTCTCAAGCGATCCGAATCGAGACGGATGCGACCCTCACGACTCAGGGCGATGCGACCGACCCAGTGAACCGACTTTACCCCAAGCGCATAATCCCTTGGCTTGACTTTCCCCAGCTCCAGGAGCAAGTTTGGAGGAAATTCGACCGCACGGCTGCCTTTACCTCGCGCCCCCTCTTCCCTTCTGATACCCAAATAGATTATGTCGTTACGAATATCCATAACAGGCCGATTTATTCGGAAGCGTCCCTTCGAACTTTTGAGCGAGACACGGTGGATAATTTTGTTGAATTGATTATTAAGGCGTTGCGAGATGATGAAGTCTTTCGACGTGAGCTTGGAATCCAGGGCCAAGTCACCTTTTACGACCGCGCGAACCCATCGGAAACTTCGCTGAAGAACAGCTTGGAGCAAATGAATCTTCAGGACGTGCGAACGCCCCAACGACTCGCGAACACTAGGCCTGGGAGAGGCAGAGGAAGGGGAAGAGGAGCGGCACAGGGAAAGAAGAGGGATGGCACTGCACGAAGACGCAATCGTCGTGCAGACCAGTTCTGCGTGCACCTTGTGGCCGATGAACGACAAATCCCAGTGTATGCGGTGGAGTTCAAAGCGCCGCACAAGGTGACAATCCCCGAGCTGGTGGCGGGTTTACATCAGATAGATCTGGCTCGCGATGTCATAGACCAGGAAGGTGACACGTTTGAGTTTTATGCCACCTGCCTCGTCGCCGCTGTGGTCACTCAGATATTCTCATATATGATCGACAGTGGGGTTCAATACGGTTACATCTGCACAGGGGAGGCTTTTGTTTTTCTCCATATCCCGAAGGATGATCCCACAGTTGTTCAATATTTCTTGTGTATCCCGAATCAGGACGTGCAGGCGGACGATGAATGGCGCCTCCACCGGACCGCCATCGGTCAGGTGCTTGCATTCACCCTTCAAGCGCTAGCCGCCGAAGCTCCGTCTCAAGAGTGGCATGATACGGCACGCGACGAGCTAAAGACCTGGAAGGTCGAATACCTGGACGTGTTGAGAAAAATCCCCGAAACGCTCCGTAAAGACCCCCCAGCCTCCAATTATCGACCCTCGCACTGGAAACTAGAGCCGAAGACACACAATACACGACCCCGTGCTCGTTGCCAACCAAACATGTCTACTCCGAAGCATTCTTCGACTGAAGGCAGCGGCAGTGATGCAGAATCGCATTCTCCATCCATCGCAGCAGCGGCGCGCAGCCGGTCGAGCCGGGGCCGAGGCCACAAGCACCAATCAACTAAGGAAAGCGAAAGCACACGAGCCGGTCGGGACAACAAACAGTCCTCTCGGGAAGACGGGCAGTCTACACGACCCTACTGTACAATTGCCTGCATCCGCGGCATAGTCAACCGAGGCCCTCTGGATAAAGAATGCCCTAACTGGAAACTCCACGGTGGCCAGAGACACTCCATGGGACCGCAGGAGTTCACACGTCAGCTTCACAGTCAACTTGCCCGAAACCGAAACCACGGGTTTGAACAACTCCATGTCTGTGGTCGGACGGGTTACCTCATCAAAGCTACTCTTCTATTACACGGATACACTGTGATCATTAAGGCTACCACGATGGAGAAGCAGCATCTCCTTCAAGCGGAAGTGGACAATTATCGCGACCTCAGGAGCTTGCAGGGACACCAGATCCCCGTCTGCCTTGGGGCCTTTACACCCCGCGTTGCGTTTTGGTACCATGGCAAATTAATGGCGCAGATGATGATTTTGAGCTGGTCTGGATCACGGCTTCAGCATATCATCAACGATAAGAATTTTGGATTCTTTCACCAGGAGCGCGACAAAGCTCTGACCGTGCTCCAGTCGCATGGAGTGGTCCATGGCGACAGTGAGTGGCGCAATATGTTGTGGGATGACCTAGGTAGCCGTCTGATTGTTATTGACTTGGAGGACGTGAAATGGTTGAAGCGCCCTCGTACCCTTGAACCAACGTCTGGAAATGCACGGCATGGTCATCGCGCGAAGGTGGGAAAATCCGGGCAAAAACTCTTGTCCAGCTCAACCGCTGTTTGCACATGACGCCCCAGGCCCATGGCTAAGACTCATTTGAGGCGATTCATGTTCTCGGCTTCCGATTATGAGTCGGAAGGAAGTTTTGATAAGTGATCGCACGTTCTGTTACTGGTCATAAAAACAATTTGCGCCAATTGTGGAAGATATTCCGAGTATATGTGATGAAAGCTCTGAAAAGACTAATTATTTGGCGACGTCAAACATATTTTCCTTGCTACGACTTTCTCGACCGCTCTTCTCCCTAAGGGTTTCACGTTTCAGTTGTCCCGGCCCCTCCTTCTCCTCAATACTTTGCTTTCGTCACCCAGCTCTCCACGCAAGAGACAGCATCTGAAGGTGACTTCTTTCGCTCCAAAAGGAACGATAGAACTTCTGCTGGGCTGAATACTTGCTCCGGCATCTTGCTGGCGAAGTCACGAGCAAGCCCCTCGATCGTCTTGTCATCATATTCCTCATTGCGTTGCTTTTGGTTCGGCGACTGCTTGAAGACCGTGTGGAAGAGCTGAGTCGAGATGTTCTGATCGGCAAGCTTGAAATGCACTTTCTTGTCTGAGCGCCCAGGCCGAATAAGTGCTTCGTCCAGATGTTCAATATGATTGGTCGTCATGATTAGTATCCGGCCTTCTTGAGATGAGACACCGTCAAGCACATTCAAAAGCCCGGATAGGGTGACTGCTGACTTTGACTCGGTTTCTTGGTCTGCGTCGACGCTGTCCCTGCGCCCCATTCCAGCGGTATCCACGTCCTCTAAGAGAACAATACAGCGCGGCGGAAGTTCAGCAAAAAGCTTCATGAGCTTGCTGTCTGAAATATTCGACAATTGAAGCGTATAAATATCCAGTTCGTGCTTCCCCGCGAGTGATAGACTGAAGCTGGATTTTCCAGTTCCAGGGGGTCCAAAGAGAAGGTAGCCTCGTTTATACGGAATACCCCGTTCTGCGTACCAGTCTTGCATATCTTGGTCGAGAAACTCGTCCACGTCTCTTAAAACATCGTCCTTTACCTGCTTATCCATGATGACCGTGGAGATGGGTCGGACCGGTCTCACTCTGGCTTTCTTCCACTCTCCCTCCCGGTGTTCAAAGACAGAGACTTTTCTCTGCGTATCCTTGAGATATTTCTCGCGACACTCTTCGATGAGATCCTTCAAAATATTTGCATTAAGACCAATGGAAGAGATATAGAGATCTTCTCGATGCTCTTTGACCGCGCAGCGAAGGACAAGCAAATGCCCTTTATACCAAAACAAAAAAGATCCATCCCAAGGAGAAAAGGTCAACGGCTTTTTCTTTGTCGAACATTGGTTGTTTGCCCGCTGTGGAGATCTTACGCGAGCAATCAATGAGTGGGCATTGTGGACAAATGGTTGGTCGGCTATCCAATCAACAAGTATATCGTATGCTTCGTCGTAATATGAGACATAAATTGTCGATGCTTCAAATTGTCAGTCCCACCCGGCAATAACAGGAGGTATACGGACTGAAGTAACTTCTCACTATCTCCCAAACATAGCGGACTGCATAGCGGGCGAAGAGGATAAACATCCCAAAGGTACAAAGAAGTCGAGTGTAGCTGTCCGGGTCACCAGCAAGCAGCTGGCGTGCGGAAGCAGTGACCATACCGAAACCGGGAAAGATGACATCTATCAGAGACATCTGGAAAGGGGAAGAACCACCTCCGTTAATTGGATTCATTGTGTATTAAAGAATTGAAAGACTTGATTCGAAGTTGGTAGATGACAAGAGCGTTGTTTCTGCTCATACTTATATATTCGCTGCCGGCTCTTTTCTGATCGTCTCGTTCTTTGGGAAAAGGTACGAGAACCGAGCTCGAGAGCAGACAAACATTTGATTCGCCCTCATCAGTCAATATTGATAGAACGGGCCCTATCTGTATGCAGGAGGAAGACCCTTGCAGTCTAATCTGGCGAAGCTCTTTTTTTGTGGCTTTCTGTTCTGAGGCACACGCACATATCTATTCTCCCTTATTACACTGTGGTTTGAGATGGGAAAATGACAATCTGACAAATGGCATTTTGTTGATAGTTATCCTTTAGTGAGATTCATCCAATATCGCTTTGCCAAGCGTTATTTCACAAGCGCTATACCTGCTCGGGATAGATGCAAATTGTGTCAATCTCAACACATGATTGTATTACCCTCGAGTTTCTAATGGGAGTCATCTTTCGCCTGGTTTTCTCCGTGCCAGGCCTAACTCCGTTTTGGACATGTCAACCAAAATACCCCATAAATACCAGTCAAACAACGTACTAATCGACTATCAAATGAGGCCAAACATGGACGAGGTTTCATCCATGGAAGAAAGGAACAATTAAGAGATCATCCGGACTGGACAGACAGAAAAAAAATGTATTTTGGATCTTCTTTTCTATTTAAAGACGACTAGTCCCGCGGACTACAGTCAAAGATTCGATGAAAAGGAAATCTAGAAACATGGAACTAGATCTAATATTCCATCTGGTCGCATCGACAACAGCAACGCTTTGTTCTGTGGCAAGCCTTGCATTCTGGCTCTTGTATACGGAGGCATTAAGCCAGGGAAAGCGGAACAAGAAACAACTCATTTACAGCCAGATCATGATAGGTGGCATTATTATTCTTGGCTCAGTTGCATCCATGCTGCTCGCATTGAAAAGAACAACCGCAGATAATGGTAAGCAGCTTTGTTTGTTAGATGATAAGTCATTCTTACCCAGTGCTAGATCTATTACGTTCAATATCTGCCGTGGAGGTCGGCGTCGTGCTACTTTTGCTCATTTTGAACGAGGTACGTGCAGGTGATATAAGCGAGGTCGACGCTGACACTCATTTACAGTATCTTTGTATATCAACTTTACAGTCATTCTTGACTCACATGATCGCGGCCTTATTCTTCGTTGGTACGATTGTTGTTTTGTCCCTGATCATTTACCAGCCGGCAAGTCTGAACTGGATCTTACATGGAAGGTCTCTTACTAACGGTCTTTCAGCAACATCGCAGGTCTTTGCTTGTGTTATACACGTTCGTGATTTTGGTCAGCCAAGGGTTTATTAACGCACAATTCATACGGTTTTGGGCTACATGCATGAAGCCTATGTATGGAGCTGCCACTACTTTCAATGTATTCTGGCGACATCCAGATCCGACGACATCTAAGCATCACAAGGCTCTCTGGTTGGCGGCGATGGGGTCAATCGTGCTTTTGCTTTACTCACTAGGCACGACAATCCTTGTGTTTATAAGACCATGTCTGTGGGTCCAATTAACGACGGTACGTATATTGGCCTCATCGGAAACCCAGTCACTTACCCGCTGCATAGTTAGCTCCAAGTCGCCATTATTAGCTTGAGGAAGGTTGTGACTTCGACTGGCGTTTTCTGAATTTTATTATTTCTGTATTCCAAGGGCAGGGTCGATCAATAGCGGGCACAGGAGTCGATATTTGTGAAAGAACTATTCCATATGGTACGATTTTTTTTTTTTTTTGTTGAAAGTGGTTCGTTTTTGCCCTCTGTTGAGAGGTCGCCTCAACCGGCTGTTTGTGGGAAAAAGCTATCCGGACAGATCTCAGTTGGACTTCCGCTCAATAGGAGTGATCGGTAACGAGATCGCAGATCGAGACACAGAAGAAGCGGCCAAAGAATCATCACGATAGGTATATCCGAGTTGACAAAAAAAAGAGGATCGAGTAGGAGCAGGCGCAGGTGAAGGTGGTGATCGGCCGACGCAAGCAAACAGTTAATTAAGCACCGGCAAAGAAACATTAAAATACCGGTCAGAGCTGCGCAAAACAATAATATCAATTTGAATACATATACGAACCGGAATAATTGTCTCGGGTTCTGTGCTGTTGTAGCTGTAGGCTCGCACAATTATGGCAGAATTAGTGGCCAAGGCTGATCTAGCCGCCTTAAGCGTGCAAGGAGGTGCAAGGGAATGACCATTAAGAACAGTGCGATGTAAAACAGAAATCGAAGCCCAGTATATGCAGTGCCATTTCTACTGTTCTCTCTGATGCGAACAGGTGGACGAGCGACGGTTCACCTCTGACGAGAAGAGGCGCAGAGGAAGTGAGATTATTGTAAGTACCCTTTGCTGCCCGATGAAATTGGACTCTGTCCCTAGGTGGGGCAACCCCTCGGGTCACCTGGCAATCCTCAATCTTCAACCCCTCTGCCCGCCTTCAGCGCAGATTGTCTTGCATTTTTGCACCGAGTTGCCAGCGCCATCGCACAACATAGTCGGCCGAGGAATTGCGTACGCCGCTTTGCGTTCGACTAAAGCCTCAGACCATCTTGCCTTCCTCGTACACCGGGCTTGTAAGTATAATTCCTTCCGTCCTCACAACAAGCAATGCTAATTTGCTAAAATGCGAAGTAACAAGCGCAGGCTTCATCTTTCGGTTCCGGATCGATATCGACTGTGAGCATGGTGATGCCGAACGAGGTCTGCCATCCCCACCCGGACTCCTTCGGCTGTATATTCTAATCAAAACAAGGCCTCTTTGGGAACCGATGCAATAGAAGGAGAGATCTACAACATACGTGGAGCCATACTATTCCGACCAACACCTTACGATAGGGAAATTACCGGGAAGGGAGATTCAATCATGGTTTATGATCCGAACGCGGACATGGACTCTCCGCCATCCTGGGAGAACGAGGATCCATCGAAGGAAGAAACAGGTCCAGTACCAGCGGGTTTCGAGATTCGCGTGATTGGAGCAGTCGTTGTCTTCAAACGCGTATAGCCTTCAGCTCATGGATTAGCTGGAGACCATCTTTATGGCCCACTAAAAGGTTGATGGATATATCTTGACTTCGGTTCTTTGGTACGAGCGCGGCCAAACAATCGGATGTTTCTGTCCCCCCAACTGTGCGCTCCCACTGCCATTGATGACTGCTCTGAAGTGCATTGAAGAGCCTATCTCCTAACATTGGAAGATTGGAGATAGGCGAAGAAGAGCATCGGTAGTCGATTTCTGTTTCTTGTTATTAAGATGCCTTGTATGAATATCGAGATAGTCATGGTATCTCACGTCTGTTTTGCTGTATCGCTGTTGAATTATTTTTGTGGCTATGATGTATTTCACGCGATTCAGTAGCCAAGGTTCCTTCTGGCCCACCCTCATCGGTTGCTTCGAATCCAGTCGAATCCATCGGCGTCTCTTCTATACGTCTTCGCTTAAGGGATGACTGTTGTTCACCGCTGGGGTTGGAAACTTTCTCGATGAACGTTTGAAATGGTCCAGAGGCCTTTAGAGGTCCCTCCTTTGCGAGAGATAATATAGTTTCGAATATTCGTGGCGGAATTTGTTCGATTCGTTCGTGATGGAGGTCTTCGATGAGAAAGTGAAAGGTCTTGTCGGTCATACCCCCCGAAGCTTTCCAGGCAGATGGCTGAAGCGCCATCGCCCACATGAGAATAACATGAGCATGCTGAGATCTAAGTGTCGCACATCTCGTTTCAGTCTGCTTATTTCTTGTTTTCACTTGCTTGGATTCGAAAGTAAACGTCGTTGGCCCCATAAAGATAAGAACTAGATTCCTTTTCAGAGTCGTCATCGTCGATGGAGTAAAGGATGTATCGTTCTTGGCAGACCGGACACGACTTGCAAGTCGAATATCCTCTTCATCGGGGTACCCGATGGCCAACAATCCCTGTATTCCAGCATCAAAATTCGCTAATGTCGCCTTGAATCGTGTGTATAAACCTCGGAACTCAGTTAATTGGTCCGTAGATGGGCGAATACGTTTTTGACAGAGCTTCAAGCTGACTGATTCCATTTTGTTTACCAGTGAATCAAACTGCGACAGAACCACAACGGCAGACATGATGAGATAGGCAGAAGACGCAACTCAGGAAAGAACAAACAGCAAAAACGGGAGGGTAATGGTATTTTAAAGGCGGATCGGTCTTTAGCCTATCCCAAGTTGGTTTAGTTGACTACGTGACTGGAGAATCACATTCGGATGAAAGTCACGAAAATGCGAGAGCTTTATTGGCGGATCGAAGCAGGTCCCAGCCAATTGGCATGGTTATTGGCTGGCAAACTATAGCGCAGCCTCGAGCTAAACTGATGCGTGGCTGCTGAATTTACCGTTTATTTCCAGCTGACGCTATTTACTTGGCGATATATCCAGATTTGATATAACTTTTTATGTGGTGTAACACCGAACCCCGCATTTTGAAGTATAACAACACTCACGTTTTTGAGGTTCGATAAAAAGTAGCGGCTTTGAATTTATGAGTGGCTGGCTGCTCCGTTCTATGGCCAATGGCAGCCAGTATGTAGCCGCCAGTCACCTTTCCGACGACTGAGTCCGTGCTTACATGCATATTTGTCATTGCGAAACCGCGTGCTGCAGGCCACGTCAGCAGAAAACTAAGTACGGAAGCTCTCAAGCCAAGAATAGGTGGTTGCGGCTCAAATATTTTTCAGCTGGAGTGGATCTTTGCTATAGTGATGGACTATTAGCCGCCGTAATCCTGGACTTATTCCCGTTCTCTGTCTTGAGCACGCCCAGGATGACAGGGTTCCCCGCTTACTCGATATTTGGCCCGACCCAGCTCAAGTTATATTGATGACAAGCATCAACCGGCTGTTTTCTCATCTAAATACAGACGTACGATTGCGTACTTTTGACCGGTATCGACCACAAGGCCCCTGTCGCTACCCACTGTCTCCTCATATGGTGTACACAGCGGTGCTGTTCACCACTGGTCTAATCGTTAGCAAACAGTCTTCGGTGGTACCAAAATCAAGGTCCCCTGTTGCGCGTCTCGCCGTGGCAACCTGTACACGGAAGTTTCACCTGCATTGCATATGCATGCCAAGCAAGGTCAACAACGCAGTGTAGCGCGCGGTGTATTCTACAACGGCTTTTAGCTGATTACTCTATGGAAGGCTATTTATGGCAATTACCTCATGAAGTATGTAATGTTGACTGTACTGGCGCGCGCCTGACCATTCAATGATGGTGCTCAGGCGCAGAACGAAACTATATATTAGATGCTCTCTCCAGCAGAACTGCATGTCACCAACAACCGCAAACTTACAACGATATCACTGCACCACATTGTGTTCTCGTACCGCAATTGATCATGTCTTTGGCAAATCTCAAAGTCAATGGACTTTATATCATCCTTTTTATTCGGAATCATCCGCCAGTTCCAAATGATTTCCACTGGGGCCTCTACTTTCATCGTCATCCCGACACTGGCGGCACAAAATACCACATCACGCAGCAAGGTAGTGGCTGGCTGCCCGGCCATGGACCTACTGCGGGTGTCTTTAAATCCTTTCTTCTTGTCGGGCTTTTCAGAATTGCTGATGTCCCTGTGGGATATGAAGGTCACTTGGATCAGACTATGAGGACATACGACAATCAGTTAAATGTTCCAGGCGTCACTTGCCGTGTCTGGGTCCTTTGGGTTCTGGCTCTTCTGCAAAAGACCATCAATGGACAGGTGATACTGAAATGTAACAATTTGGGAGCACTAGAGACCGAGGTCAAGAATTGGGGAAACGCAAATGCTATGACTGCCGCAAACAATGTCCAGCCGCGGCCATTGGCAGCTTCCTCTCTGTGCGGATTATGAGAGACCTTTCCAATGACCAAGGTGTGTTGAGCGCCCGAATTTCATCAAATTGCGAATCGCTAAATGCAGCAGCAGACGTGCGGGTATGTTTCTCGGTAATCTCAAGTGGCACGGGATTACAGGAAATGCCACAAGTTCTATGGTGGTAGCTATCCTATGGCTTTAGATTACAATATTATACGTCTACTGTCTCCAACAATATACTGGTGATTTCGCGTATGCGGTTCGAAATATGGTCGGTGAACGTTGATTGAAACAGAAAGCATGAATACAAAAGAGGCCAATAAGACATCACTGGTCTACCAATAGTAAGAAGCGCCGGTCAGAGAAGTCAAGGCCTTCTCACAATCCATCTCTGCCAAATATGAGTCTCCACCGAGTTTGATCACAAAGCTGTACCACCCAAAAATCCTCCTGCGTGAACCTCAAAGCAGTAGTGAAGTCCCAATATTCAGGGTACCAGCCTGCCGATTCCCAATCCAAAAATCCGGTGATCTTGCCCCCTTGTACCAGAATGTTATGGTGCTTTAAATCTCCGTGGGTAAAAACAACGCGATGAGGCAAGCTTCCCATCACTTTGACGCGATTGAGTGCATCTTTGTATTCCGTGTCTGATGAGAAACCACCCGACCAAGCAGGCCGTATGAGGTACTCATTGAAATCTGCCTCTGACTCAAATGGACCAGCAAAATGACCGGGAAGGCGGACACTCCTTATCGAGGTACCTCGAAGAGAGCAAATTCTTTGCCCACCCCAGGGACTTGACCACCCTCGTATGATTTTTAGGTAGCCTTTAAGCTCTTCTAGAATTGAATTTTTATCCTCGTCACTGAGGGATTCAAAAACTTGGCCTAATTCTTCACCGGGCACGCGAGTCATGAGAATCGAGACCGGCGCATGGGGTGTGTCAGTATGCTCGCCATAGCAGATTACCCTTGGGACTGGAAGACCTGCTCTTCGTGCAACTTGCATAGACAACACTTCCTCGATTCGAGTACCATCGGACCATTTCAAGATCAATCCAAATGGAAGCTGAGCAATCTGATTATCATAGGATATTCCGACCCAGTCGCAATAAGATCGAGAAAAGCGTCTCAGATATCTGTGGAAAAACCCCCAAAATTTACGCAGCCGTGGGTGCGTTGGCCGAGGAGTCGATGGTATTCGATCGCTAGAGACCGGCCGGACGTTGTCTGGCCACGTAAAATCGGGCATGACACAGCGAGGTATTAACCAATGTTTCATTGTGAGCATAGATGAGTATCTGAAGTGATCAAATCAGTCCGAAGAGTTAAAGGGAATATTAAGGTTGAAAGGGGAAACTGGCAACAGCGCGTCAAGGCTACTCTTTATAATGCCGGCATGAAATGCGGGCGGTGTATCAACGATCACATGGTAAGGTGCCGCCAAGACACTCAGCGAACTTGCTATGAATTGAGACTTAAATCACTGAAGCGAGTGCCGCTGTCGCTGCCCAATTCGGAATTACGTGCTCTAGTCACCACATGAGATTCAGAGCTAGCGGTAGTTACTTGGGTTATGCGGGTCTATCAGGAAAAAAGACAACTAATCTTCAAATGATCGAAATCATCACAATAAGTCGCGAGACCGCACACCAAAAGAAACCGAAGATTAGCTGCAACAGTCATCACAGCTTTCATGTTTTATAACCCTGTAGTCATCGAAGCAGGTCTTCATTCGCTGGGTGACTATTTGGTCATGGATGGTTTTCACAGCCGAAGACCATATGTATCTCATCACGAAGCAGAGCTACTTTCGCCAGTAGTCGATATCATCGTGTGGAGGCACATCCACCAGAAAAGACCCGATGTGACTCATGAGAAAAGTCAGGCGCCACTGCGCTCCTGGGAGCTGCGTGTAGATTTGCGACATCAGATTCTGTGTGATGTAACCTCAGATGAAGGTATACATAGCTAGGGATGCTGGATTGGGAGTACTGATGGTTTAGAGTCGTGTACTCGACATCATGTCGGCTTCATTGAGAGACGAATCTATACTGGGAAAATAAGAAACCTGCGAGATCCATCCGCCAGAACCCTATCGATATCTTCATGTCGTCTGCATTTTCTCAGCAACAGGACAAAAATTATTGCGGGATCAGAGTTATTCTCGGGTCCATCTCAAGGCTGAGGGCTTGAGTATGCTAATCGGCCGTCACTGCTGGCTCTAGACCACAGGCTCGGACAAGAACGTGTGACTATCGGTGAGGTATTATTGCCATTGGATGATTGTGACAAGGCGCAGCACCTGCAGTCAACAGGCAACCAAGTCGCGACAGAACAAGGTAGAGATCAACCAGGGGGAACAAAGAAGCGGGTCAGAGGATGCATCACCAATGCGGGCGCAGACGTGGTAAACCACCAAATCGCCGACACAATGAAGATCAGGTGAGCAGATAAAGAGCAATTTGGGTATTTGTAGAACGAATAGATTGAATAGGTAGTGTGAGCATCTGTAGAAGAATAATCGATACCGTAGTATGGGGCAAAATAACTTCGGTCCCAGGAGTGAAAGTGGAGGAAAGACAAGGGATCAGCCGCAGTTTGTGACCAAAAGTGACAGGGGTGGATGGGGCAGTCGGCGAGTCCGATTGGGCGTGCAAAATCCCAGGTGCTTAACAATGAGTGCAAGATAGAGAGGTAGAAGAATGGAAAAGTGAGAGAAGGGGAAGACGAGCGGCGGAGACGGGTGTTTTATGTCGGAGGGCATTGAAGGGAGGTTACGTGACGGCGTATTGGGGCGCTAAACCCGAAATGGCAAAACTAACCGGATACAGTAATTCACAGGTCCCCATTTTACATGATAAACAATTTTCACTTAGGCCCTGAATCACGAGAACGTTCGGGATCAGTAATCGAAGACTAGGTACGGCACATGAGTTTGACCGATCGGTAGGTTGAATTGTGGGGGTTACCCGACGGAGTCACAGATGGGATCATCCCACCGACGGGATGCCGGCACAATTTTTTATTACAGTGCAACTAATTGTATAAGAAAGGGATGGTCGTATATTAAAGTATTCAGACGAGTTTCCTTGCCAGTAGCTACTAGCATCACTTTACTGGTTAGGCCTAGTAAGAGATTTATGTCTAAAAAAAAGGAATTACAGCCTGGTAAACTACTAAGTAGTTAGGATTGTATTACTCGGGAGAATATCTGCCATCTCGGCCAGCTTATTTCCTATCATTCACTTCCTCCACATAACAGTGGGTAGGAGGCACTCCATATGTAAGGCCGCAAGGCCCTGAGAGATACTAGAGTTTCAGATTGTGAGCCACTTGGTGTAAGAGCAAGACCGAGAGATGCGAGTCTACGGCGAATATAGGCAGCTTACTGGGCATCACCAAACAGAAATAGATGCGGGTTTATATTCAAAAAGCCAAATAGCAAAATAGCAAAATAGCAAACGCATAAGTGGAAGATTTACAACTATTTAGGGTAGGTAGGATCTTGAAGATCTATGTGAAGTGTATTTTTTTTTCTTCTTTGCAACAAACATTCTCTTCATTCGTATTTATCAACACTAAGTATGATCTGCAAAAGTTTACAGAAGAGGTTAGACAAAACAGCAGTCCGACCAAATAAACACGTAATCACGTCAATCTAGCTACCAGAGCGTTTCATAATGTGCCTTGTATTTTGGGAGGTGGAAGTGGTCTCGCATATGGTAGCAGATACAGGCTATATGTAAAAGCTTTAGTAAGGCTAAAGGTACGTACTTGTAACCAAAGAGGTTCTTTCCTGTTAGTAGCGAGTAGTAAGTGTCTAACTTGGGCCATGTATAATAGTATAAATCAAATCTTCCCGTAATGGGGAGAGTTCCTACGTAGTATTATGTACTTGAACGAACAATTGCAAGAAGAAAACACTTTCCAGAGAGTAATCGAGTCAGGAATGTAGGTATGATCACATTCAGCCAAAGGGGCTCCATCCTCCAGCTACCATATCGACCACCCTTTTAGTCGCATCATCCAAGTCTTCTTTAGGAAGCCCCAATACATCATTTGCCAACTCCATTGTTCCTGCGAAATCACCTTCCTGGTTGGTTGGCAAAAACACACTTGCATAAAGCATCTTAGGAAAGCCCGTAAAAACACCCTTGGCCAACTCCTCAGCACCGTCTGCAAGACGCTTGGCGACACTCTCGTAACTGATCTCCCAATCAGAGTCTGTGGTGCCCAAGACACGATGCAGACTATCTAGCACATCGCGTTGCGAGACGCGGAAGCTATTAATCAGGACATCCTTATTCTTAAAGTCGGCAAGCGCAGGGGTGGATCCCGATTCTGGCAGGCTGAGGAGAGCGGCCAGAGCGCGACCACATTGGTCCCATGTGCTGACACTAACAATGCGAGTGCCGTCATCGAAAAAGGTGACCTTCCGGTCTTTAATCGTAAAGCCAAACCATTGCTCTCCGCATGCCAGGCTCCATTCGTACCAGAAACCACATGGCAGTGTCACTGAGGACGAAGCACCAGTTTGAGCGTCAGCAATTCGAGCAAGAGCACTCTTTCCGTATAAATCCGTGTCCTTCACGTCCTCGGGGGTGATGGGGTACCCGTATGCATTGGGCATGATATAGGGGACACCGGCCTTTGCGGCAGCTGTGGTGATTCTAGCATGAAGGTCTTCGGGGGCTCGGACGCCGAGAGTAATCGCAAGGAATTGTTGGCCAGTCAAGGCCTTAACAAGTGAGGCTTCATCGTCGTAGTTGACTCGAACGACTTGTACTCCCTCGGGGACTTGTCCATCGCTACCTTCACGGGTGAGAGCAGTGATTGTATGTTGCCCTGTTTGCAGAAGCGATTGAGCAAAGGCTCCGCCGATACGGCCAGTAGCCTGGTGATGGTCAGCATTTGCTCCTTAAGGAGAACCCAGCAAAATACAGGGATTGAGGCTGTAGACTTACTCCGACAATAGCAACTCGTGTGATAGGTTTCGTGGACATGATTAAAGGAATGATTGATGGGACTGGATCTAAATTTCTGTTTGACAGGTTGCGCCGATAGTGATTTATATATTCAAGCTATCCCTGGACTAAGCGGAACCTCGGCGAGGAGATAGTCGGAGAATGGATCTAAGCATCGGAGAATGGTTGTGAACATCCGAGAGTGGTTCTAAACATCGGGGAATGGTTATAACCATCGGAGTTAACAGTTAAAGCCGAAACTTTGCTTCTAATAACCACGGGTCGTATGTTGCTTGTCCCCGTGGGGTCCGCCCTATATTTGACGCCTCCACCAATAAAAATGAAACAACGCCATCGAGATCTGTGTGCATCACCCTGGAGTTAGGTAGGTATAATAAGCATATACATGACAAATCTGTAGGCGGATCAAAGTACAGATACTCTGCCAGCGCATAAGCTAGATGCCAAACCTTCCAATAAAAGGATAACTCAGATCTAAGACAGGACGAAGATTTTTGACGTATGCCTATGGAAAGAGTCATGTGCCCTTTCCTAGACACCTATCTCTAGTTCAGCTCTTTCTTTTGTGGTGCCCTAATGGGCGTAAGAGTTTTGCCCGATGACAGGGGTCCACACTATTTGAGGAAGTAAGTCTGAAGCCATCTTTGAGTGGAGTGAAATTTCACTTACCCATCCGTAGTTATCACACCGACATTGCTCGTAAGCGGGGCAACTGAAGACAGAAACGTAATAATGAGTATCCCACAGTAGCCAAGAGAGTGCGTCTTCCAGATGACACTTACTGGACCCCTTCCATACCGAATACCACATGCCACAAAGTTTCAAATACCCACCCAACACCGTAATTATCAACGAAGGGAACACTCTTTTCGTCCACCCAGTTCAGCATACGAATATAATCACTTTTAGGTCGCTGCTGAATGCGTGCTCGGCTGACCGCAAACTGCGCACAGCAAATCCCTCCAATTGTGTCCGGAACATGCGCATCATCACCAAATATATCCTTGTATATCCTCGGAAAGTTTGCCCGAGCGTCGTTGCTGTCAATATCCTCCTGAGAGGGGCTATTTGTATGGATGTGAGCCGGACATCCTGGGTTATTCGTACAGCGCAGGTTCAAATATCCCATCGCATCCACAGCTTCCAGGCGTAGGTTGGGCAGAGTGTTGCTTGTTTGGGGGCCAAATAGATCGTTGTGCCACTGGTCGGGGTCGGCATGGACGAAAATGGAGTATTCGGGGAGGTTTTCGTATAGGTCAACAATGAACGAGAGATAAGCGGAAGCTTCACGGCCGCGAGAGGAGTGCGGAGTGAGTAGTTCTTTCTCAGGTCTTTTATCCATGGTGTAAATGAACGGAGTATTGTCGGTTCTGGCCATGGGCATCCGATTAGTATGACTACCTGCCAACCGGGGCGCTTGTACTTGCTGTGTTTGAAGGTAATCACGAAGCCATCTTAAGTCATCTCTGCGTGTCTTTGGTACTACCAGCGCGACCTTTGTGGAGTTTGCGCTGTAGCTTCGGGTTCTCTTAGCAAGTTCGGATAGCGCCGCGGCCTTTTCTAGCTTTTCTGTTGAGTATTCTACCAATTTCAGCATAGGGCTGCACTGGATTTAATGATGCTGATTACCGAATTTTATGATCACGAGAGCTGCGCAGGCAAATATTATGAATGCTGATAATACGGGTCGATGCCTAATCCGTGAGATGATCGATCTCTTGAGTCGTGCCGGATATACATGGCTTCCAGATCTGCTGTGACTGAATTTATCGTTCATTTTGAAATTTATTAAGAAGTAAAATGAAAGAAAGAGAATTTATTTTTCCTGTGTGACTGGTTAGCTTCCACTTAAGACATGCGCTATGGCCTCGTTGGGCGCCCCCGTATCTCAGGGACCTCGGGAAGCTCCACATGAGGCTTCGCTTGGCCTGAACTGGCCTGAACTGGCCTGAATTGACCTGATTTCGAACATTTGGGGGCCAGTCATAGACGAGCCTCAAGTTTCCACTCCTGGATGAATTCCGCCCCCATTTCTTCTTTGAGATCAAATTCCCTAAAAATCGCTCTTACATTGTTTCTTCATATCATACGGAGTAGAAAGCCACCTAAAATATGATGATTCAAATCAAATCCTTACTCCATACGTAGAAAGGGTATGCTATCTCAACCCGTATTCAAAGCATTCGAACGCGTGATTTTGTGAGATCAAACATTTAAAATTTGTCCAAACTGGTTGTGATGATGCCGGCCCCGGGGGCCATGTGCTATTTATTTTACTAAGCAATCATTTCCTGACACAAAATTGGTATTTGCCGGTCTTAGCACAGCACAACATAGGGCCTGCTCACTAGTGCCACAACACGTCCGGGATTTATTTTAGCAAGTTTCCTCAGACCTAGCCATCCTGGATCACTCTTATAATGACGTTGAGATATAGATGAAATCTGATAGGATAGTAAAGGATCATGATGATTATGATATTCTCAAGCAAGTTAATCCGAGGTCCATTCTCCGCCCAGATTCATATCGTCCGCTAGCAAACCTTTCTTCCCCTATCCACTAGAACAGGTCTCCTCTCAAATACTCTCACGCGGTCATACCGCATTCCTGCAAAGGAACCCCCGAGTTGGAGTTCCTCTTGGGGGCACTGAAGTCTTCCGGGTGTGTCTCTTCCACAGTAATGATCTGCGAGTGTCGGATCCCTTCAGGCAAGAGAAACCCCCCTTTAAAGAAAGAGGCGTCCTTGTACTTCTTGATGTTCACATGCTCACTCGCCGTCAGAGGTCCCTCAAAGTTCTGGAAAAGGAGTGCTCTCGCCGTGCCGTGGTGCGGTTCGCCTAAGCAGAGGACACTACGTGATGCGCCCCCCCCCAAGTTCTATCAGAGTCTCTAATCGTCCTCCATAACAAAACTGTACCAAAAGCCCGTATCCTTTCATCCTAGCCATACTGGGTCCCATGGATAATACACTGCCGGGTTTGTGCTGTTACCCCATGATCTCGAAAAGTAGGCTGGTATCCGGTTGCGATATTGTAGTAGTGCACAAGAACCTGCGGGCTTTGAACCGGCTCTTTATATGGACCCTATTCTGTCACCTGGAAAGTGTGGGGGGATGCTTCAACTGGGGAAGGTGCGGCCCAGTGACCAAACTCAAATCGTCCATAACCTTGAAAGGATATGGAATCAGGCAGTGGCGCGTACATCAATCGTAAGTTGCTGTAATACCTAGCTAGTGCAGTCTTATTGTCACTGCTAGGAAGGGGTGAAAGGAGAGGAAGAATCATCATCTCTTCAATTTATTAGAAGCGAAGTATTTATACCCCGAAACTAACAAGCAAACTGCTTAGTCTGCTAACAAATAGTCAAATATATGGTAATAATACGTCATTCTAGTGGTCTTTCCACTCGTCCTTCCAACAGTGTTTCTAGTAATCCTTTTAAATGTACCTAGAAGGCGGCAAAAATATAAACTGACGGATCAATCGATTGTATACATCAACTAATTATACAAAGTGATGTAGGCAACCTCGGCAGGGTACCTGCTTCGGGACGCCCAAGTAGCAGAAATAACAGGTACAGCAACAGTCCTCCGTCTCGTATGGACACGTCTTGAGCCAGCGCTTCAACGTGATGTACGAGAACCCACGCCGGCCACAACAATCTCGCAGTTTATGGCAGATCTGGATCTATGTTACGGACAATGGTTATACGAATGTGGTGTTTGCGTCGAAGTCTGCCTGAGGAATCACTTGCTGCGTTTTGTCGTAGGGTAGTGCGTTAGTGAACGCGATATCCGGGAAGTCATAACTGGTAGGACAGACACGGCTTGAACTGCTTCCGGCGGGACTAGGGCTGCACCGATGAAAAACTCGGAAATGCTCAAGCGAAACTTTCGGCCGACTAGGTATGAGGCGGGGTTCCAGCTGCCGCAGAAGACGTAAAAAGCCTTGTAAACCGGAAACCCGGGTGAGCCATTAGCCCATATGATCATTGGGGGGGGTCTAATGGAATACGCGCGGTTCGTATATCTCCATGCTGGTCAAAGTCCGCTTGAAAATGAGAGCTCCGCTGGCGGGGTGTATGGTGCAGATTCAATAGAAAACTCCTTCGTCGTTTAAACGGGCGTAGGAAAGTGCAAGACGCGCTTCTTGCTTCACGTTGTCCCAGTTTGTGCACTGAAAAGTGGAAGACCATCCAGGTTGCGACTGTTCCCATATCGATCTTTTCGCCGGTTAACGGGCCTGGCCTTTTTCCATTGCGCTGCCCATCAACCGGGTGGGACATATTGACTTTGTCCCAGCATAGCGCGTACAAGGTAGACTCGTCGTAAAATCCCCAGAGAGATATTGTGAACGCTCGCTCAGTGTGTAGCGAGATTGGAAAGCGACTGAGCAGTGCAGGCAGGTAGCTGTGGGCGTAGTATCCTCCATCACTGGATATCAATTAAATGGTAGGCAAGTTGCTACAACTCTGGCTATATCTAACCTCGTAAGCTGAGAGTGGATGACTAAATTACTCCAAGGAGAGATTTCTAGGTGGCACACTTAGGCACCCGCACATATGGGACCAATTCAATGCTTCCAAAGAACATAGAGCAAAAATCAGCCTCTCCTATATTCGTTTCCTTCCCTTAAGTCTTCTCTACTCGCTATGAATACTTCCATATCTCCAGGTGCCAAACCCGCAGTGCCGCTGACAGGCCCTACTGGGGCTTTTATGGTGGAGTTGCTGATCTGGAACGGATCGCCCTTCAAAGATCACTGGGCGTACTTTGTTCGGTCGCACACGGACCCTGATATCGGCGTAAAGATACATGCGACCGGCAATGTGAGAAGTGGCTTCGAGTTCGAAATCAAGCGTAGTGAAAACTTGCAAACAACCGAAGACATTCCTTCGACGAGGGTCCCGCTGCAGTGGGTCGACGCAAACTACTTTAACGAGAAGGCTATGCTTAACGACGGAGAATATAAAATCGACAATGCGCCTGTCTGTGGCTTCGAGAGGAGTGCTTACGAGGTCAAAGCTCCAGGGAAAAGTCTGAACACAGTCAGTGACGGGGTGAGATTCATCCCCAACCTGTCCCCTAGAATGAATGCCATGGATGTGTCCGCACTTAAAGCCACACTCACCAGGATTTATACATGGCTCTCTATTGTGTCACTTGGATATATATGCTAATTCGAATGTTCTAGTCCAAGCCAGGTAGGAAAGTCATCCAGAGGGACTGCCAGACATGGATTGTCGAGTCTGCCGATCAACTTCGCCGTGACAATATTTTTAGCAATGAGGTTGTCGCTTACCTTCACGCAATTAAACTGTGATGGTGGATTAAATCAGTGGTTGAGCCTGGTCTCTTTTCCTAGAAATAGTTCCTTGCATATTTTATGAAATCTTCCTTGAAATGTCCACCACATTTTCGTTCATCTATCGGTCGGACACGGTCTTCGAGGGATTTGTCCTTCGATGGGGGTTTATAACCAGGACATGAAATAATTTGTGCACCCGCACGCGGACCCTGATGCGTGAAGATACTCGGTACATACAACCACTTTCGGTTATAGTGGGCATTCGATTTCAAGGGCAAGTGGGTCGAGTCCTAAAGAAGAAAGCGCTGCAACAAAAATAATCATCGAACCCTGAAAACCTCGATACCAATGCTACTCCTCTATAAACCGACGGTATCCCTTTCTCGGGTTCCCCGTATCTCGAGCTGAATTGCCACATGTCCTAGCTAAGCAAGAATAGGCGGTTAATTAATCTATGATGCGGGATAGAGTTGCTAAAGTGTCGATCTTAATTTCCGCCCTCGAACCCCGGATTTATGAAGCAGATGCAGTAGTACATAGTGCCGTTTAGTGCAATAAGCATACTCATCACAGTAAATGATCAATATAAATGAGAATTATGAGGCAATATCATGCGAGCTCATCGAATTTTGGATCGGGCCGCAAATGCAGGTCTTTACAGATGAGGTCCATACGGCAGATAATTTAGAACAAATGGAGGATGGCAACCTTGGAATGACTTCTATAAGACTTAGATTGTAGTATCTAGGTGGAGCATGCAACAAATGTTATAAAAAGTGATAAAAAGAAAGCCATGGTATGTTATATAATCTTCATGGTCTCTAACTAACTATTCTCTTTTTTTTGCTCGTAAACTTCAGCCCCTATAGTGGGACCTCACACCACATTGGATGTGTAGCCGTCTTGAAAATATAGACGCAGATTTTGAATATTATTGAAAAAGACTTGATTGGAACAGCTTTCAATAAAGCACTTCCACAGCGCTGTGAATTGTATATTGCAATGATTGGTCGTCCAAACTCTTGCCATCAAAGAACTCGCGCGACTCCACTTCACCTCGTTGTGTTTGCTGTTGTAGCCTACAGTAGTACTCGGTGACTATTTCAATCGCGACCCCATCCCGCGACAGCCGTTTCGTGACATTCACTGACATTCACCGTGGTGAGGATGCTCGCACTGCGTGAATACAGGCCCCTACTAGTAGGTGATGGGGGGGTGGGGGGTTTGTGGGGTCAGCCAAGGGCTGCCAATAGGATATGCCAGACTTGTCATCAGATCGTCAAAAGCTCAATCTCGCTTGACTATTGATTCCGTTTTTAGCAATGAAAAAAACATGGCATTGGGCTAATGATTTCCCTAGGCCTATCACGGGAGCAGGGGTATAAAGATAATAGGACCTACCATCTTAGTCGAATTGTTTCCGCTCATTTGACTCGTCTCATAACGCTATATTCGTCATGATTTTTGGTCGCCTTCTTGGCGTAGCCGCGCTTGCTGCTATTGTCAAGGCCGTAGAGCTATCGGGCTATGAGTACATCGTGGTTGGCTCTGGGGCAGGAGGTGGTCCTTTAGCGGCGCGACTCGCCTTGGCAGGTCATCGCACGCTTCTTATTGAAGCTGGAGACGACCAAGGAGCGAATTTGAACTATACTGTCCCTGCTTTCTCTGCGACCGCTTCTGAGGATGAAGCTTTGGCATGGAACTTTTACGTCAAGCACTACGCCGATGAGTCTCGGCAAAGGCTTGACTTCAAGACAACGTACGAAACTCCGGACGGCAAAGAGTACACGGGCTTAAATCCACCGGCGGGGTCCACGATGAAAGGCACACTTTATCCCCGTACCGGAACCCTTGGTGGTTGCACGGCACACAACGCACTTGTTACCGTCTACCCGCACGACTCTGATTTCGAATACCTTGCCACACTTACCGGGGATGGATCATGGTCACCCGACAACATGCGCAAGTACTTCAAGCGCATGGAGAACAACCGCTATCTACTCCCATTACTCAAGGGCCACGGCTATGATGGTTGGTTAAGCACCGAGACCGCACCACTAAGCATTGTTCTAGAAGACCCCCAACTTCTAAGCTTGCTGCTTGGTGGAGCATTTTCCCTAGGCAATGTGACCAAGTCAGTTTTCAACATCGGTACTCTACTCGCAGGAGACGCAAACTCGGCCGCAAAGCACCGCGATACCTCACCGGGATACTATCAAGTCCCCCTAGCATCCGATGAAAGCTCTCGTAACGGCCCTCGTGAGTTCGTGACCACCGTTAGGGATGCGAAGAATGCCGACGGCTCCAAGAAATTCCCACTTGACATCCGTATGAACTGCCATGTGACTAAGGTCACCTTTGACGAGAGCACCCCTCCCCGCGCAACAGGCGTCGAGTTCCTCGACGGGAAGTATCTGTACAGCGCTAGCCCCCGCTCTAAGACGGCGGGCAAGGGAACACCAGGCTCAGCAGCAGCTTCGCGCGAAGTCATCGTCTCCGGTGGCGTGTACAACTCGCCTCAAATCCTGAAGCTCAGTGGTGTTGGACCAGCAGAGGAGCTCCAGAAATTCGGAATCAAGGTTATCTCCAACCTTCCCGGCGTGGGTACAAATTTGCAAGACCACTACGAGACTGCCGTGCAAGGTCATGTCCCTAAGAACTTCACAGCGCTTGATGGATGCACGTTCAATCATGGTGATGATCCCTGTCTTGACCGTTGGAATAAGCCGGTTCTTGGTAACCACGGAATCTATTCATCCAATGGATTCGGAGCTGCAATGCTCTATAAGAGCTCTGTCACCGCAGATGATAGCTTCGATGTGTTTGTGTTCGGCGGTCCTATCAACTTCCGCGGATACTTCCCTGGATACGGCGTCAATATCACCGAGCGCCATGACTGGTTCACTTGGGCTGTTCTAAAGGCCCACCCTCGTAACGCTGCTGGGACTGTGATGCTCCGTTCTGCCGATCCGCTCGATATGCCCGATATTACTTTCAATTACTTTGACACTGGCTCTGGTGACTATCAAAAGGATCTGGAGGCTATCACTGAGGCCATTGGTGTTGCGCGTGGCGCCTTCGACCGCCAGTTGGTTGATGTGTCTGAGGTCCTCCCTGGTGATGATGTCAAGACCGATGAAGAGATCCATGACTACATTAAGAATACCGCCTGGGGTCACCATGCTTCCTGTACTTGCCCCATTGGATCTGATGATGATCCCATGGCTGTTTTGGATTCCAATTTCCAAGTTCGCGGCGTATCAGGCCTTCGTGTTGTGGATGCCTCTGTGTATCCCCGTATCCCCGGAACGTTCACTGCTCTTTCCACTTTCTTGGTGGCTGAAAAGGCAGCTGATGTGATTCTTGATGCAGCGAAAGCGAGTCAGTGAGCTTATTTATTTACTACCCCTATATTATAATGACCAAGATTCAAATCGTGGATCTCCCGTGTGTACATATCTGACCAATGTCTGGTCTTTTGGAATGCGGCAATTAATTTTCAGCGGAATTTTTTCACTCAGAGACATTCTCAGAAACGGACATATATTTCTTCAATAACGCCGATGTATTCCAGGGCTTAGTTATATGTATGTTTGAATTTATGGTCGCTCTAACGCAAAAATAAAAAGATCGTTCCCCTCTTCTTCGAAATCACCGACAACCTTGAATCCACACTTTTCTAGGACACGGCAACTCCCACGGTTCCTCTTCTCACATAGAGCAAAGGCCTTCTCGACCTCTGCCGGGGTATCTTCGCCATCAATTGTTCGCCGTGCCAAATTCCACCACATCTTCAACATCAATTGCAAAGCCTCTGTTGCGTACCCTTTCCCCCAAGAAGATGGATGCACTGCATATCCAATTTCAGGGAAGGGGTCCACTTGATTGATGCTAAGGGATCCGACGACTCGTTCTTCTGTTTCCGGGATTGACTTGTCCACAATGGCATAATTAAATGAACGGCCAATAATATCGGAGGGACCACTTGTGAAGATCTTTGTTGCCATCCATTCACGGGTTTCTTCAATTGATTTGAATGGAGTTTTGGGGTGGCTGGTAGAGTTAGCATTGTGGACATTCCTCATCAATACCTACGTAGGCGATGATCTTTACTCACTTCATTTCTGCGACTTCGGGCCGGGAACGAATGGCGAACAGTGCGGCAGCATCGGCGTCGGTAATTGGCCGAAGAAGGAGTCGGTCACTCTCAATTGAGGGCCCTGGTGATGGGACGATCACGTAGGTGGGTTGTTCAGGTAGGCCCATATTGAAAATATTTTATTTCTTTATATTTCGGAGAATATTCTTGAACATGAAGATGGTAAAGAAATAAATAGGAAAATTGGACGGCAGCGCTAAGCCAGTCCTGGAGCCCGATTGACTCACAAATCAAAGTCTTTGTATCGGCATCCCGAATACTGGAGTGAGTCACTGTATATGTATTTAATGTGTGAGCTTTTATGATTTTCTACAAAGACTCCCAACAATGACAGTTTGAAGCAAGGTACGGAGTAGAACTTTTTATTTTAAGGTAGCCATGACAATAGGTTTTCGATGCCCGAAACCGGACCCCGCATCGCCGGTGGCCACTGAACCCTAAATTCCGCAGGGTTACTGACTTAGGACCGGTCCGGTTCGACATCAGGTTCACGGTGAAGGCAGAACATGTCACAGGGTTTAATTTGCCAACATAGTGCAAATCATGACCACAAAATATTGAGTTTCCTGAGCCCACGCTTCGGCTTAGGTTCCGGCTCGGGATTTTTGTGCCAGCTTTCGATGAAAGGCCGAATGGGAATGGCCGCCAGTGGGATGATCTTCGTCTTCGCCCAAAATTTGTGGGCGAAGTACACGATAAGGATGAACGGCAGGTTGAAATATGTCGAAACAAAGGTTGCAGTACTCCAATGACCGCGCATAAATGTCGTAAAACCTCCGGTGAAAAAAAGAACGATATATATGACCAACGAGATCCAAGTTATGTATGGCTGAAAAGGTGCTGCCCATGGGAGCTC